CCAATAATCCCACTGTCTTTCAGATCATGATCCCAAGAGGATTCATCTTAATATGACGTTTCCTCTAGCACCACCTTCAGGCTGGTTTCATGCCAACTTTACACACAACAAACTTCTCATGTTACGACTTGATTGCCATGAAGTTTTCTTTCAATAGTCATGGCCCCCAGAGGATATATCCTTAGTTTGCCAATCCTAGCCTTTTTTTTTTTTTTTTCCTCACACCGCCATCACATGTAATTTCCACATGCACATACGAAACTGTATAAAACCATATGCTGGTTATGGAGCACATTCATGAGCCCCAGAGGAAGAATCCTTCTGAATTTTCTGTTTCCGTCTTCAGTTCAATAGAACTGTTCTTAGCGAGAAGGATGCACATTCATGCATATGTATGTTGTTGTATCAGTTTACAAAATCCCACCACCGTACAACAAAAGATCCCAGAACCTCAAGCTTCATCACCAGTAACTCTCTTTAGGGTTTTTCCCCCTAAGTGCCTAATCAGAAACTGCTGCTGAACAAAAAGTCAGGACAAAGTTAATCTAAAAGGTTTGTATTTCATGACTCTTCACAGAAGACGGTGATGCCAAACTATGACCTTATCACTTTGCCAAGAATGTTTTTCCCCATAAAGACTAAATGGAGAAATGTGCACTGCACATCTGCGTGATTATGGTCAACAGCTCTTCTTCCATGCATCTCAGCGGTTTGATGGTTAACGGACAAACCTTTCCCTCTGTCCTCTTTTCTTTCTCCCCGTTTCATGTGAAGGAGATTGTCTCCAAAGTACAGTACTCATCTTATTTTGAAAAGGTACTGATCACGAAGAAGCCTCTGTAATATATTGATAAAATCAGCTTTTAACCTCTTTTCTCTCATCTGTAAGAAGGCAAGATGCTTTGTTGGTCGTGGGCCTTTTCACATCGACTACATGCAGCTATTACTCTGAATATCTTCCCTTTTACCCTTTTTGTACATGAAAATTGTTCTGGAGAGCTGTCATTTGAGCAGCTGTCCCAGATACTGACGAGCACATTCCCAGCACATTGCAGGAATGGTTAGGATTCCTTAAAAGTCCAGTCCATTTGTTGCATTTCTTCATCATTCTTCATTATTCTGCTGCTGTTCAGTCTGATGAATGCAGACTGGCAGCAAAACTGCTGAGTTGACAGGTTTGAAAAGCGCTTCAGATGGAGGGATCAACCCAGTGAATTTGATATAACTAAATGATTGATATTGTCTGGAGTGTTTGAGATTACAGAACAAAACGTACTCGCCATGAGGGAGACTACTCCGCCTGTAAAGAGTTCGTCTGGATAAATGTCACTTGGGTTATTGCTTTACAAACGGATGCAAAGAGTTTGAAACAGAGTCTTTTACCAGGAAGGGAGGTTTAAAAGTAATTATGTTACTGGTTGCATTATGGGAAATGTAGGATCCAATGGACTGAAACTGAATCTTTCTCTTGTGAGTCCCCCAACTCGTCTTCTTGTGGCTTTTTATTGTCTTTTCTGTTTTTCTGCAAAAATAACTTCCTCTTGAGGAAAATAAAGATCTAAAGTTAACTAACCTACACTGCGTTTCCCATATGATTAATGTTATATAATGTTTGTATCCGGCGTCTAGTCGACAAACATGTTTTTAAAAATTCATAAACACTGTGAAATATTTTGATGTTTAACTTGAGTGGATTAAATCTGCTTCACCCTCTCTGATCAGTTTCTGATCCCTGATCAGATTTGCCTGCATTCTTCTCGACAATCACCAGATAACAAATGTGAACTTCAAGTCTAAGGGGAAACAGAAAGTGATATGGGTTTATCAGTCTAGAAAAATAAATTGTATTCAGCCACTAATGCAGGAGGAAAGCTGATGTCTCTGCTGCTTCTGGAAGAATCCAATGATTCACCAAAACCTGGAGAAGTCCCTGACCTCCATTCCTTTGTGCACTGTAAGCATAACTAGGAGTCACTGGCCGACCATACAACAGTCACCCACAGGCACCTGCACCCATACGTTACATGCAGAGCCCTCACACCTGCACCGTGACTCTGATCTACCTCAGGCCAATAAAAAGGCTTTCCTGCTTTTGAACCAGGGCTCTGAAGGCATGTGTTCTTGGCTGCTTCACCACTCAGGCCTGTTTGTTTGTTTGTCTGTTTGTTTATGAGTCTTCACTGATGCTGTCTCTAAAGTATGCAGGTTGACTGATCATCACGTCCCAACCGCAGCGCTAACAGGTTGATTTGATGAAGGGGATTAAGGGTAGAAGGGGTAAACGTGGATGGCATTCTCATTTGTTCGCCTCAGTTTGTGAACACACGTGTGTCGTCGTCGCCCCCCGGGCAAAAAACCTTGTGGAAATGAGACTCTGTCTGTCCACCACCTGCCTCATTAGACAGATCATGCCCGGTACTAAGGACCAGAAAAGCTGCAAAATATCTTGCTGCAGTCATTACGAAGCGCAATTAGACGTGAACCTTAATCCTCTTAGACTCTAAAGAAAACATCATTTACAGCCTTGTCACTTTGCACGTGGAAGGTTATGCAGAGACGGTGTTGGAGCTTCCATCATTAACTGTCATCACACCTCCTTTTCATTTTGAGTGGTGCTGTCCTCCCACCAGCTGATGACCGAATGACTGAAACAGTAAAGGACACCTCATCACAGTTAAACTCAGAGAGGGAAAGACAGACGTATCTGAGCGGCACAAACAGCAACAATCACAAGGAAAAACAGTTTGAATCGTCTGAAGCTTTGTTAGGAGCCCAATTACTCGTATTCCCCAGCTCTGAGAAAAGTTGGACTCGTGCACTTATTGCATCATGGAGCCTCGGGGGGGGGTGAGAAAGGAGAAGTGCTATGCGGTGAAGTTAGCTCCGGCTTTCACCCCTGATATCAACGTGGAAAGTGGGGGTGTGAATTCTGGTGTTACAGCAGCTGTGAGCAATGTTAAAAGTATCTACTGCGGTGCGAGTGGGGGTGTGCAGCGGGCCGAGTGAGTGTGACTGTTCCTCCTCGCTGCCTAATCCAGGCCAGGAGGAGGATGAAGTGGATGCAGAGGGTTTAATTTGACTGGGGGTTAAAACCGACAGAGATGCTACGATTGTTCCCTGAGCCTCGCACAAATGTTCAGCATTTTATTGCTCTCGTGAAAAGCTTTCGTCTGCCTTGTGTTCTGTTACTGAGGACTGAAAAAACTTATTTCGCAGCGACCGCTCTGTATGTTGGAGTTTATCCAGTGTGGTTTTGAAAGGGTTTCCTTCGGCAGGGGGTGATAGTTTTTTCAGGCTGCAGAGGAGCATGAAATCCTTAAACAAGAAGAAAGAAAGAAGGAAAGCGAGACATCTCTTATTGATTAGTCCAATAAATCACATTTCTTCTGGTTTCCTAAACATCCTGGCACTTGTTGTGTTATCCAGTGTGGCTGACCGCAGATCTGCCACCTGAATCAGCCACACCAGGCGCACTGTGCATGACAGTGAAAACCACACACGCCACTTGGATCTCTTCATAATTTGGCCAATAGGAAAAACAATAATAAATCCCAAAAAACAAAGAAGTGATTACGCAAACTATAAATTCCCTGTGACTTTCTCCATAGAACAGCCTTGACCACAGTGTGTTGTGTGTGGGGGTGGGGGGGCTTAAAGGACATTGTGAAATAGTTCCAGTCTGTGAGACGGTGTTACATATTCACCACCACCCCCCCACACCCCCCGAAATATCTTCCCCCCTGACCACAAATAATATTACTGTGAAGTGAAACAGTGCTGTTCTCCTCCACTTCACATCACTTATTTCCCTCTCAGCCTGGACACTGCTATAGTTGTAAAAAAAAAAAAAAAAAAGCTCAAACACGAGAGAGAACAAATAAAGTAGTGTGTGTGTGTGTGTGTGTGTGTGTGTGTGTGTGTGTGTGTGAGAGAGAGAGAGAGAGGGAGTTTAAAGAAAGAGAGATGGAGAGACGTGACAGTGACAAAGATCTGTCCTAGAAAAGAAGAGGGGGCTGGAGGAGGGATGCTGTGGAGGAGGAAATGCTGAGTGGACTCTGGTCAGTGTGAAGAGAATAACACTCATTTATATTCCTTATAAAAGAGCTTTTTTTAATCACGTCTTACACTGTGATTTCACCAACGTAAATTAAACTCAAACCAGAAGTGGAGACAGTGGATTGAGGTGTGTTACAGCACATCTAACCCACCTGGAGGACACGTCTGTCTACAGTCTCTCTCTCTCTCTCTCTCTCTCTCTCTCTCTCTCTCTCTCTCTCCAATGACTCAATAAGAAAATTGTCAAAAATAACAAAACAGGCAAGATGTCATTTTCTGGAAGAGTGAGATCAGGCAAATGAAAACAACACAGACCTTGAATGTTTGTCGGTGATAGTTTGTGGTTTCTGCCTCATAAACAGCATCATTCATTGCTTTATTGCAGCAGCAGCATTTCTTTACTTGATCGGCCATTAATTGGTGATTTAATTTGTGTATCGGACGAATTTATTCATGTCCCACCCCCACAACGTGTCATGCTGGAGTCGCTCAGTTTCAGTTTGGAAAGTCCTTGAATTTGATACCAGTTGTTGACTTTATTGATTTCTTTGTAGGACTCGTCATACCAGGGTCCACTTACAGGTTACCCCTCAGTTCACAACTGGTCTGGGTCAAAATGGAGTTATGAATGGTCTGGTGGGGTTGCATATAGGCTTCTACATTTCCGCGCTGTATTTCCAATATTATGTGTTTAATTATCTGCACTTTCTATCATAAGAAGACATGCCAGCATTATTTCTACTTTTTATCTCTTCTATTTAACAAAGCAGTAAGTCATGCATAAGTATCGGCCGGTAGCCAATAGTTTTAAAAAGGTTAAATTCATCGCTAATCTGCAGTTTGATCAATAACGCAGTGTAAAACTGGGGACAGTAGGCTATCACTTGTGTAATCGATCCCCGGGGGATGACTGTGATCCAGCAGACACACAGGTATGTACTCACCCGGGAACCAGGCTTCTGTGCGGAGACTTGAGGCAGGTAACAGAGCAACAGAGGCGCCAAAAAGTGAAGAAGGGTGAAGATCAGAAAACTTGACAATAACATAATTGCGCGTCGGTGAGCGCGGAGCAGGGAGCGGCAGGTAGGCTGAGCGCTCAGTGTCGCTCTGTCACACTGATGATCAACAGGTCCAAGCCGTGAGAGAATCAAACGCTCCTTCACTCTCTCCACTCTGTTCTCCTTTGTCTACTTCTCCAGTAACTTTTCACAGCGCCGCGCGTGGGATGACAAATCATGACTCGGCGGTGACCATCGTGATCGGTTTTATCCACTGCGGGAGAATCAGCTGTTCATCGCGGCTTCCACAGGTTGAGTCGCGCCTGTATCCATTGCAACTTCATTTAAAAGCAAAGGCGTGAGCAGCAGCGCTGACTGACACCTCAGCCGTCCAATAACAGCGAGGCTCGGCGTTGAGGCCACGCCCACCGCAAACTGGTCCAAGATGAACCCTCCGCAGAGGAGAAAAAAGGCTGCTGTGGTCGGAGAAGAGAGAGAGAGAGGAGCAGGAGACCCGGCAGCTGCAGGGACACTCAGTGTATTATCATCAGTCTTTGAGAGCAGGGACAATGGCTGAGCAATTGTGAGGTCAAATTTTAGGTTCTCATCCCCATTCACAGACATATAATGCTCTATAATAGCCCAGTGTCCTGCTGCCTTGACATTTAGCCTGTGTACTTGGGGTACAATGGAAAACATCTATTGAGTAAAGTCAATAGCTGTCAGGAACACTGCAGGGGGTCAGCCTGTGTTTGTAGTTAGTGTGTGTGTGTGTGTGTGTGTGTGTGTGTGTGTGTGTGTGTGTGTGTGTGTGTTTGTGTGTGTGTGTGTGTGTAGGATGAGGATTCAGTGGTTGACTGGGTGAAAACAGCTGGCTGTGACACTTTATTTGCAATTACTGTTAATATGTTGAATTCATATTTAACACTAGATCTCATTATCTGGAAGAGGAAGACCACTGATCACTATGGAGACGTTTTTCAAAATAAATTGTCTAACATGTAAAAAGTCCTTGACAGTAAGTTGGTTACAGTATTTGAAAATGAACAGGAAACACTTTTAAAGTTATTCTAACACATAAACTCAGTACTATACCTCTTTTAAAATACCTATACAATACATAAACTATATACTATATAATACATTTGCTTATGATCCACAGTTGATTAAATTATGACTGGGTGATGAGGCTGAAATAAATATTAGCATATATATATATATATATATATATATATATATATATATATGTCACAATATAAGTGTATAAGAACTTACAGATAAAATAATCAAATTGATGATGATGAAATGTTTAAGCACATTTCAACAACAAGGCAACTCAGAGTTTGATATACAACATTAAAGGCATGGACACAAAATGTAAAAGCAAATACAAAAAAAAAACTTTAGGTAGAAAATAAAAAGAGTTGAATTATTGAAAATTAAAAAAAGAGATACAAGAGTAGAAGTTACAGTGCAATATAAGAAATGAGTAATTATCTGATTTAATTTAAGACAGTGGCAACAACAGATTTATGTAAAATAACAGAATATGATTATATCACGTAAATGTTAAGTACTTAAGTACAAATGTGATGTACTTGTAGATGAGTATTTCATGCTACTCATATGTTTTCTCTTTTTACTCTTTCACCACATTTATTCTATTCATTAATTAACCAACAGTATGTGAAATACTTTAACTTAACTACACCTCAGCCAACTACAAAAGTAAAATGCTAATTATACATTAAGACATCAGTAATAATCCAATAATAGGCTAAACTATATAATACTATATTAATGACATGGGAACTATTTCCTGCTTTACTTTAGTTACTTTATGAACATTTTGCTATAAATATTTTTCTTCTTATATTTGATCTTTTTATTTCTGCATTACAGTGTTGACACTGTTTCTTCAGTGAAGGATCTGAGTACTTCATGTTGCATTAATGTAACTTATGTGAGGCCCAGTCTTACATAAAAGCACAGTACTGTGAACTCATACAACTGGTCCCACACTGTAGTCGTCCTGCGAACTCTCAACTTCTGGCTCCCACGTCCTCTTTCCCTCTGTGCTCTCTCTCTCTCTCTCTCTCTCTCTCTCGCTCTCTCTTTCTCCATCTTTTCCCTTTCAGATAAATTGTGTGGCCCATTGAGAGCGAGTTAAAAAGAAGGAGGAGAGACCGGAGAGGGTGAGCGAGGGAAGCAGTTTAGTGCAGGTGTCCAGCTTCAGTTCAGCAACCCCTCAATCCACAGAAAGTGGGCTTTTAAGAGCTGAAAAGGGCCATCCGGTCACCCTTTGCTGGAATGGGTAACAGCCCCCCTCCCCAAATCCTTTTTTTCCTCAGTCTTTGTCCCTATAGATATTTTTTAATTGTTAGCTATGACAGTTCAGCGGCTTTTTGAGTGCCTCAGTGAAGAGCCTTGTAATTAGAGCTATTGAGCTGCTGGAATTGGCACAATTAGGGTCAGCATTAATGATTTCTGTGTGCACCAGGCGGCTTCAGCAGAGCTATTTTCTCAGAAAGGATGGAGAGAATTCATGAAGAGGGTCAAGCTGAGTTGGAGAGAAGTAAAAGGAAGGGGCGGTCGCACATAAAGGGAGAGAAAATGAGGCCTAAACAAACTGCAGACAGTGAATTATCTGGATTCTTATTTATTAGACCACTGTAGAGCCTCAGTGTAGTATCATTATCAGCGCTGTGAGAGGTGGGTTGCGCCTCCCATTGCTGCTGTCTCTCACCCCAGGGGCTTCGCCCCCCCCCCCCCCTCTCTGTGCCAGCCAGTCCACTCATGTCCCGGTGTGAGTGGAGAAATGCTGTGGGAGGTGAGGATGAGGAGCGGAGAGGGGGAACAGGAGTGTCTCTTGGAATGTTAACGAGATCAGTTAATATCTGCTCTTCCCTCTCGCCTCAACCCTCCACCTCTAACAAAGAAGACAGAGTTTTCTGGGGTGTAAAGCTGTTGTAGGGAAAGCATGGCTCGACACTTTAATTCTGTTGTCATTTGGCCAAGCATGAAAGAAAACCTCTGACAACAAAAACAAAGAAGGAATGAATGGGCCTGCTGAAAGGAAATGTACTTCCCAATTACTGCAGCGGCCCTTCCAAAGCCGCCCCAGCCGCTGTCCCCCCGCCGGCTTACACCAACTACATACGGCCGAAAATTAGCAGGTGTCTGTAGACACAGAAACAGACAGAGCAGGACGGAGGCCACCCAGAGATCTGACGGCCGGGGGGGGGGGGCTTTTAGCACAGATGTTCAACCATGATGTCACATGTATGAAGAGTACACACACACAGAGTTCAGATGTGGTACGCTGCATGTTGTGGGTGATAACAGAGTTGCAAACTAGTTGTATAACTAATTCACAGTATAATACTTGATTCATTACTTTCCTTTCAAAATAAAAGCTGCACTTATACATTGTTGTTCATGCATTTTAATAACGAAGCATCAGAAACCCTGCAACTGTTTTAATGTAATGTCTGTAAAGAGGGAAAAAACAGGTATTCTACAAAGTATTTGTACTTTACTTTCCATTTAGTGCAACCCTATTTTTCAATTCAACTATATTTTAGAGGGTAATGTACTTTTTACTCCACTACATTTACTATAGACTGCAACTCTCTGTAAACATGTTATATATACAGTATAATGAACTCAAATGATATGATACATGGTAAATGTACATTAAACTTTTGTGGTAATTGTACTTACTGTACTGTATGTACAATTATATTATGCTTCACCTGAGTATTTCAATTTTGTCACTTTATATTTCAGTGGGAAAATATTGGACTATTTACTCCACTACATTATTTTTACAGCTGTAGTTACTACTGACTTTTCAAAATAAGATTTTTAATGCAAAACCAGTGAAATAAAAAAAAGTGGTTAGAATTAGCTCCACTTTGAGCAGCTACTGTATTAAAATGCAGTTTACATGTTGATTCATCAATGATAAATAATAACAGAAAGGGGCCATTCTCAATCAAAAGCACTTGAAGGTAATTTATTGACATTAAACTGCATAAGCGCAACACTTACCTGACAGCTACCTGTTGCATTGTCTGTATTGGTATCGATTAAAGTGCCCAACGGTCATCATTAAAATCCTGCTTACAGTTTAATGCATCAGTAATAATAATCAGTACATTTTACTGATAACTCCTCTGTACTACTGCTTGAGTACATTTTTGAATGTCGTACCCTAAACTCTAATGAAGTACTTTTACCCTGAGGTACTGTTACTCCTACTACCTCAGTACAGTGTCTAAGTCTTTCCTCCACTGCAGCGCTCTAATGTGTGTGTGATAGCTCTTAAAAAGTTAGTATTGTCAAACACAACCAAACACAATTACAGCCCTGAATGAAAGACAGACAGACGGGGGCTGGGCGAAGCTGTGCTGGGCCGTGTGCTGAATGGAAAAATCGGAGGTCAGATAGAAAGCCCTCTCCTTTTTAAGTGTCATCTGGATTTCATTTCATAAATTCCACATATTTTACATGTACTGGCCGCAATTTTCACTAGCTCCTGAAAACGAGGAGCTGTGTATAGCCCTTGGCTGGCCAATACTTCTGGACATCAGAAACCTGGCCTCTTATTACCCTCTTCAAACACACACTCGTACATAAACACACACACACACACACACACACACACACTGAGGCTGGTGTAGAAACATGCCTAGTGACGGAAACGCACAGCAACAAATAAATAATCCCACAAAGCCGAATTATCCATGACATTAATCAGAGATGTGAGGGATTTTTACATAGTGAGAGAATGAAAGAGAAAGTGGCAACAGAGAGCCACGGGTGTTAAAAGGGCTATTGAGTCTGGACTGGGGTGTCCCGCACCTGCGCTGTCTATTCACCCCACTGTTTACACACTGTCATCCACAATTAATACCTCCTGGGGACTGGGCTGCCTGCCCTCTACAGGGCCCCTGGACCCATCCAGGGCCCTTATGGATGCCTAATTGAGCATACCGCTCTGCTGATTGAATTAACAGCTCTGTCTCTGGGACCTTTTCCCCTTCCACTGAGGAGGGGGACTATTCCACACCCGCATGGGACCCCTGTACCATCCCACAGAAGACAGAGCAGAGGGAGGGGGTTGGTGGCTGGAGAAAGCAAAGGGTCAGAAGGGGGAGTTGTCGAAACTGTCCAGAAAACGTGTCCCTTTCTGTTGGCAAACCGAGGCTGGAAATGTGAACGGGGGGCAACGAAAGGTCTCAGTCTTCACAGGACCAGTGAGTTCCAGCAGGGGCAGCGAGCGTGCAGGACAGGGCCGAGGAAAAAGACGGGATT